CATCTGGCACAGACCTTGTTAATCTGGGTGATGTCTGAGCTGGCATGATTCTCTTAGTTCATGTCACTCTCATATTCAAGGTACCAGGTGAAGCGTTAGGGATCTTTGCCCAAAGACCCCTACTGGTAAGGTAGATGCCAGCCAGGATTTGAACCCCAGTCTCCCATGTCAAAGGGTTGTGCTCTAACCACAATGCTATCTCGCTGCTGCTATATATAATTCTTTTGAAATGGTTATTCTATTTCATCCATCATTAACCTTTCATTAACTGCTTTCTAAAATGTATGTTTTACTGTTCTAATAACTTCAAAGCAAAGATTAGTAGTGTGATGGATCTGTATTCTCTATCACTGGAATTTTCTTTCTGTCCTTAGAAACACACAGACCCATACGAGGGAGCAAGTGGGGTGTAGTCATTAAGGTGTTAGATTATGCATTTAATCTGTTATTAAAATACGACATGGAGAAAGAACAAGTAAAAGTTGTATGAGGAAGCAGATACAAAATCTTTTAAAAAAACAAAAAACAACAAAAACAATAAGGATACAGCCATGGGAGCAATTATAGGGGAGAAAAATCAGCAAAACAAAATCATTAGTATAACCTATGAGAAAATTGGTATAAAATGTTTTACAGATGGTACATAGCTCCATCAATAATTACAAAAATAAAGCATATAACAACAACAAAAAAAGTTGGAAATGTCACTATGAAAAAGCAACTTTGTATCATATGCAGTGATTATGTTTAAAAAAACCCAAAATATTGGAAAGAAATATATAGCATTATACAAAAAAATCTAAAAATAAAATTTGAACTGAAACCTCAAATATTTTTATTAGGAATTGTTCCAGGACATATAAACAAGAAACACCATAAATGATTAAGATGCATGTTAACAGCCACAAAGACAATCTGGCATAACAATGGAAAAGAGACGCTTTGCCAATGGTACCAGATTGGGAAACCAAACTTGGAGAATATTCACCAGTAGTGATAAAAATGAAACTGATTGATTTATTTATTTTCCTAAAATGTTCAATAGAAAAGGTTCTAGTCTAGTGGAGAGACCCAGGTTCTAGTCCTTCACTAGGCATGGATGTGGTAGGGTGACTTTGGGCCAGTGGCTGTCTCTCAGGCAGAGAATGGGAAATCAAAACAAATCTGTCTACTATACTGGACCAGCCTTTTAGATTACAGTCTATGACCTTCAATGAAGAAGCCCTCACCTTATGGTAAATTAATTCAGGCTGAATAATAATAATAAACAACATATATAAATAATTAAAATGGCCCAAATCACATGAGTCTGACAAATCTTTTAACATTTCAGTGTTCTTAGATGAGATCTCCCAAAATACAAGGCAAGAATATTGAAATCTCACAAGGATCTGGTATTCTCACATGAGATTTCAGTGTCCTTATGTGAAATTCCATGAGATATTGGAGGTAAGATCACCAACATCTTATTAGACTGTAGCAATTTTAGTTTTAGTTTTAGTTTCGATTCACTGCATCATGATATACCACACTATCTTGCAAATATAGTATTAATTTCTCTGTGTAAAATACAGAATAAATTGCTTTACTTTCCCATCCCAGAAGAAAAACTCAATAATTCTAGCAGCTACAGCTGCATGTCTATACTCAGCCTAATGAGTTCTACAGCTACAAACATGGTTTATGAATTTAATCCTTGAAACACTGAAGAAAACATCACATCCTGTGCAGTGTAAGATCTAACAACGAATGTAATAAATTATATGGTGTTGAAACACACAGAACAATTACATGGCTGCAATCCTGTTACAAGATGGGAATGACACAGACAATGACATTTCTGCTTCCGGTCATGGCCTGCATAAACAAAAAGGTATTCCATCAAGTAGCCTTGTTAACTTGCATATAAAGTGGGACACGATGGCAAAAGCATTCCTTAGCAAACAGCAGCAGATCTTGGCTCTGTGTTACCAGAGGCTCATCATGGTTATTTGGGATATTACCCTCTCTCCATTTGCAATTAATTTTGGGGTTGTTCAACTAGTGTATGTATGTATGTATGAGTGTGTGTGTGTGTGTGTGTATATATATATATATATATATATATAT